TCCTCCCACTTAGCCAGAATCTGGCCACGCAAGGAGTCTACGGGGGCCTCAGCCGGATCAGTGGGGCCAAGCACTTTACCACGAAAGTCTGCCCAGGACAAGGCATTCGCGTCCCACTCCACGGAGAAGTAATAAATCTCTGCACTAGGCACTGTAAATTTAGACCGCATCGCCATGAAAAAGCCGTTGAAAATGTATACAGGCTCTTTGCCCTCAATCTCCACCAGGCCGCAGTAGAAGCCTCCACCAAACTTCACCAGCTTCTTCGCAGCCTTTGCTTGCGACCACGCGGCATTAAGCTGGTCTGCATCAATACCCAGGTGCTTGCAGGCATCCATGGCATTGAATACCTTGCCTGACTTGAGAGCTTCATCCCAGGACACACCAAACTGCGCCTGGAACTTATCCGCTGGGACATTCAGCTCCTCGGGCTTTTGAATCCTCAGCTCTTCAGCTCTTCACAGTCAATTCAATGAACAAAGATGAACGGTCCGTTTGAACCTTAAACCCTCACCCTAACCCGCATATATTTTGTTGGTTGGTAAACTTTGCTCCCCCAACCTGGATAGCTTGGTCGAGTCTCGTAGCTTTCGAAGCTATGGCATAATAATGCTGGTCGATCAACTTCTGCTGGTCGATCTTTTCCTTGCGTGCCGCTGCGTTGCTCGATATGGGCGGCAATTGCGTCAATGCTGGAGTTACAATGAGTACTTAAAACCTGTCGCTATGCTCACTCAAGAGTAGTGGTAGTGGGCACACTCGCACAGTCCGTAATCACCAGGATACTAGTACGGTAAGACAAGTGGCAGCATCTGTAGACTTCTAGCAGAAGAGGCCAGGAGGGAACAGCAACATAATCCCAATAACTGATAAGATTTTCAATCCTATACTGTCTCCAGTAATCCCTAAATCATCCCTGTATATCCAGGCCCTAGCCCCTAGGGTATCCCTAGCTTGAGAAACGCCCTGCCATGCGTGCTGCAGCCGTCCAAGGTTCGCCTTTGAGCTTGCCCTCACGCACAATGCGAATGCCATGCGCTTGGAGACCTGCTTTTGCCAGTGCCTCAGGCTCTTCTACGTAGCTCGGGCTATATAGGGATACTGGAAAAGAAAATGGAAACTGCTATAGTATATTTGGGGTTATAGGGATATAGTCCCCCTTAAGTAGATAGAATGTGGGTTTGGGTATATCATGATAAGATTTTCATATTGGCTCCATATACCCCATATTGCATCTACTTCAGGAGGACTATAACCCTAGACCCTAAACCAAAAGGGTTGCGCAGGGGTTGTTTTGTCTTCGCTTCCTGGCCGCGTCTAGTCAGTGGCTACTCTGTACCCTGCGACAGAAAGACTTCCTAGCATACAGAAACGCATACCAAAACTTTAGTGGAGGTTTGACATAAAATTTTGAGTAAAGACCCCCAATCCCCCCTTGCGATCCCTATAAACCGTTGGGGTCATTCAGGACCAGACTTAGTTACCACTATGATTATTAGAAATCTTTTACTGCAGAGTATTACGACTCTTACGGCTGCTATTATTACTACTTCCAGTGCTTTTAGGCAATTTTGCTACTGCTAGTATGGTTATCCGGCTTAGGACTGCGAGCTATGGGGCTGAATCAAGATATTACAAATTTGGGTTTAGGGTTGAGGGAATCAAGATATTACAGAATTTGGGGATTCAAAGACATAGGGAGTTCAAGGGTTCAAGGATTGGCTACATAGTACATTGGGGTTCTATATAGGGATAATCGAAATTAAGTCGATACTACTTTATAGTCTATTGGGGATAGAATATAGTTGTAGTATCCAGGGTCAATCTTTAGGGCAGTCCATGTATACAAAACCTACATTACCCGGGCAGACCCGCGCTCACACAAAGTGGCAGCGAGTGAGGCATGCCCGCCTACCCTCAAGACAAGAAGTTCCTAGGAGGCCGGTAGTCCGAACACATTCTTTTGAGATCTGGTCTGAACTCATAGTATCCCCCTGGAAAACCCTATAATGCTCCCCTAGGAGCTTCTCTTATAGTGGGTGTCTGCTGTTGTTCGCGTGGTCGATGCCCACGCCTGCAAGAAACAGCCCCAACCCTCAACCCTTAAACCCTGAACCCTTGAACCCTGAAACCCTTGAACCCTTAAACCCCTAAACCCTTAAACCCTTAAACCCCTAAACCCTGAAACGTCCTTGAACACTATAGAAGCTCAGGGGATCTGAGCTTCTGGCCTTCACTTTCTCTGTAACCTTAGCTGGTCGGCCGAAGCAATACCAGCGGCCAGCGGATGACAAGCAAAACACCCTAAACCCTAAACTTAAGGTTTAGGGTTTAGGGTTGGCCCTACACCGAAAGAACGACTTTGCGAATTTGGCCTTGTGACAGAGACCCAGCAAGCAGGTCTTTCTGAAATTCAAGGGTTTCAGGCTTCTACCCCTAGGGTTGTACCCCTGCGTTTGGGGATCCTTTTAAGGGACCCTAGGGGACAACATTGGCTGATGTTAGGGCTATATCTTGGCCATGGAACCGTTTAGAAGTACGGCCTTAGGGTTACAACCCTGGAACCCTTGTCAAATCTTTGTCGGAGTCTCCCAAACTACCATCCCCAAAAGGGAATCCTGTCGCTCGTTGTAATGTCCACAAATTTTGGCGGGGACCATGAAGGTTTCTAAGCATGTGTCGCGGACCCGGACCCACCACTTCAAGTCCCTCTTGCATGCTTTCGCGCTCCGCAGCTCAGGCGCATGAACATGGGCTCGCAAGCTTCCTCGGAAACCCTGTCACAAGCCCAATGTCTTCTAGACGTAGACTCAAAAGCTGAAACCTGAAACGCGGTTTAAGGTTTAGGGACCAAAGCACCTCATTTACCTACAGCTTGGGTTTTACCTGCTACTGGCGCGGGGTAATTACCACCAAGCTTTAGGTCATTGGGGCTACAGGTCAGCCCTGAAATCCTCAACCCTAAACCCCTGAACCCCTAAACCCCTCAATCCTAAACCCCTCAATCCTAAACCCTGAAACCCTAACACCCTAAACCCCTAACCCCAGGGCCCAGTAGCGGCATGCGGCTTGATGAAGACAAACGCTGAGTTTGTTGTCGCACTAACACTATCCTTCAAGGTTTTTTAGGTCTAGGGGGATAGGCGTTTAGGGTAGAGGGCTTTCCGAAGGGGCCAAAGTGATTCGAAGAGGTTGTAAGGTAGATTTGGGAAGGCTGAATAAAGCCGTGTGTAGTCGTAGGGAGAGTTTTGTCCAATTCGTTTTTCAAGCTCCGGTCGTAGCAAATTCTGAGTTTGTGCGATGTTTGGCAGATCTAGTAGGGATTCGGATATAAGGCCAGGGCCGAAAACATCTTGGTCGAATATGAATTTAGCCACCTGCAGTTTTGGCGGGGCGGCTGATGGCATAGCTGCTAGTGGGTAATAGGGCAATGCTTCAGAATTACAGTACCCTTACCGGAAGTCCCTCTATAAATCATCATGACGCAAACTCAGCACATCCCTTCCTCTGAACATTAAACGAGTTGGCCAGTTCCGAATCATCTTGGTTCGCCCGGTGGTCCGCCGCATTGTTTGCAAAAAGAGGATCTAATTGCCTTGACCCGAAATCCCCTAAACCCTAAACCCCTACCCCCTAAACCCACTCAAGCTTACTGGATGCATCAAGTCGCCCCGAACCCCCACCCCCAAGCAACAGAACTGTAATGCCATAGTTATTTCACCCCCACCCCATCACCTCCCCGGCACCCCGCCTTCGAAACACACGCTGAGAAGAGATTTCCCATTACCACCTGAGCGGTTTAGGGTTTAGGGTTTAGGGTTTAGGTTGCAATGGAGGCGATTTTTTCGGGGAAGGGGTTGTAGGGATTATACAGGAATGATCACAAGGGCTCATTTCCGCTTTTCCCAGTTCTTGAGCAAGAAGAGCAAAACGGACCATGCAATCTTACTAGTCTTCCCTAAACCCTAAACCCTAAAACCCCAAACCCCTAAAACCCTACACCCTAAACCCCTAATGTTGCACCCTGTTTAATGTAGGGGGCCCCCCCCTCCCCCCCTAACAATAC